GGCAGCAGGCAGCAAGCAGCGACTGCGACTGCACAAGTGACGTCAATGAGCGCGAGGCCAAATGGAAACGACTGGATGTGTGTGTGTGTTGCCTGTGTTTTCTGTGTGTGCGAGTGTGGGGGAGGATTCAGCAGCTCCCTTTTGCCACTGTGCCTACGTGCGGCTGACCTCGTGTTGCTTTTACTACGTTTAAGGAGTGTGCGAAGGGAAAGAGTGCAGAGAGAGAGAGAGAGAGTACGAGCATTATCCTTGCACAGTGGGTGTCAGTGGGACAGGGGAGGGTAGGGTACCGACTAGAGCATTGAACTCTGACCTGAATGGGCAGCCAGGCACATCAGCAGGTCGGTAGAAAGGGGGTTCTACGTACGTAATTTGAGCATAATTTATTTATGCCACATTTAATATTTTTGTCAGGTCTCCCCCCTCTCTCTTAGCCACTCAATTAGTAGGCAGATAGAGGTATAGCGGGCCAGCTGTCAAATAAACTTCAATTCGAAAACCAAAACTTCTTAGAATCGTATAGATAACGCAGATGTTGGATACCCTTGCATATCGATTCTCTTATGGTAGCTAATGCTTGCTCCACCCATAATACCCGCCCTTGGTAGAGTATAGGAACACCCGAGGAGACAAAGCCTAAGACCCTAAGCATGACGAATGATCGTTGAAAGAACTGTAAAACGCCATAAAGTTCCGGATCCGAGTGCGGTCTCCGCTCAGTCGCAGTCCCCCTTACAGGCACGTGCTAATTGCTTACGCATCGGAAGAGGGCAATGAAGAGAGAGCGAAAGAGAGTGAGGAAGAGGAACAGCCACAAAAAGCTTAACAAACGATCGACGTTATGACAGCAGATTAGGCGCTGCTTGAGGTGGGTCTGTGGGTGGCTGACGCATGCGAGAAAGAAGAAAAAGAATCACAACAATTAGGCAGCAAACAACAAAATAATGGAGTAAGAAGTAGCAAAGATAATTTTTGGGCGAAATTCCAAGCTGACAAGATCCCAATGACACGATTGTGTGGAAAAACTGTGGGAAATGTAATATAATAATCCTTATAGAAAAAATATTCTATTCAATTACCCTTTTCTATACCTTTGCCTCTTCTTAGTACCCTTTGTAGACCTTTTTGACCCCCATTTCCCTCAATCGCTGAGACCAGCGACCCACTCGAAGACAACTCCTCCGGCTGCTTTACGAGATCGTATTGATGTCAAGTTCTGACAGTAGCCCCACAGAATGGGACTTCAACGCTCCCGTCGAGTGGCCCAAACAAAGCACAACACAAACCACGAGATCTTGGTCAAGCAGTTCCAACGGAACGGGCGATCGTGCCAACAGGTAGGCGTTTCGGCCAAAATACAGGAAAGAGGGCAACACAGCGTCAGCTTTTGCGTCCCAGCCCGCGGCATAGATCCATTCATGAGCCAGCCCCCATCGATAGCAATGGCCAAAAGAAAATTATTTAACAGAGAGAATGACGCTGCGGATGACGTTGCGGATCAAGCAGTGTTTGGTTAGAGAGACGGACAGAGAGAGAGCAGCACAAGCAGCAGCAGCAGCAGCAAGTGTGCGCTGCCATGGTTGTGTGTGTGTTTGTGCGGCACTGCTGTGGACTGCTCTCACTTTCTTTTCAAACTTGTTATTCGCTTTGGCCGCTAACGAACAGAGTTCATTCACATTTGGCAGCCAGGCAGAAGACAGCGAGAGAGAGAGAGAGAGCGGCCCAGAGGCAGAGAGTTATCGCGCGAAATGGGCACAGCTGTTCGTTCGTTCGTTCCCGAAAGTTCGCTCCAGCCTGGCTCGAAGTTTGTTGCACTCCATCCAGCCTGGTTCGAACCGTGCTGCCGCTCCCGCTCCCAACCAGGTTCGAAGTTCGCGCTGCAGAAATGAGTGCAAATTTCCTGTAAGCCGAGTGCATTGAACTCTTTGCTCTCCTATTCTCTGAGCAAACTCCAGCAGCAAGGATTTGCTGCCCACTTTTAATTGCCAAAGATCTCCTTGAACGCATTTCGACAGCAAATGAATGTCCACCCCCTTCCAGCCACCATCCTCCATCCTCTTGGGGGCAGGCCACCTGAGGTTTCTGTGTCGTTGACCGACCCTCAGCCGCAGCAAAACCTACCGCGAGAGAGCGAACAGAATTTGCATGCAAAAATGCATTGAGAGCAGAGCGCCAGCAAACGGCTCTCACCGAAGCACAAACCGAACGAACCGAACCGAACTTAGTTTTCTCTCTTTCGTTCGTTCGCTTGCTTGTTCGGCTCGCGGTTCGGTTCGCGCGCGAGCTCGCTCACTCGCTCTGGCAGCTCCACATTTGGAGGTAGCTGACCGAAAAGTGGGTCACGACAATGGCGGGGTTCGTTGAACTGAACTGCTGCCAGTCAGCCAGCCAGCCAGTCAGCCAGCCAGCCAACCTCTGCCGCAGTCGCTGCCTGCTGCTGACGTCGTTGGCGTTTTGGGGGCTTTTATTTTTTGTGTGTGTTATGTTACGTACGTAGAGCATGTGCCAGAGCGAGAGGGGGCGAGGCTAGTGTACTTTTGGCTTCATAAAACGGAACAACAAATATTATTTAATATTTTTTGATAGTGATTAAATAATCAACATACTAGCTGAAGGGGTTGCGGGTATTAAGGGTTCACAGAAAGATAATAATATTTACACACTTTATTAATTAGTAGGGATTGTCGGGAAATATGGGTCAGTCGATCCAACAATGGGGCAGAACCATCTGGAAGTTCTATATAGAAATTAACCCAATTTTGGAGTACTGCTGCCCGCCGAAACCCGACTGCTTCTACATCTAAGATCCTCTTGGACCTGTCATACTTCTACTAGATGGAGGTCCCCCCACACTGCCTATCAATTAATCTTATTTGTCACTCATTTATCAAACACCACAACAAAGAAGGGGGGCTGGGGACCCCATATTTGTTATCAAACAAAGCGGATCAGTCAGGTGGCAGTGGCAGGAGGCAGTGGCTACCTGAGAAATCTCTGCTGCTGCTGCTGCTGTGGCGCGTAGGTGTTCCAAGAACTATGTACAACATCAACGGGGGCGCCTCTCCCCCGCCCCTACCCCACAAGTGCAGCGCAGCTGACAGAGGCCACATCTATTGTTAGCTGCGTTGCGTCGCTGCTGCTGTTGCTGCCACCGCTCGGAGTGAATGTCCTCTGTTGGCACACAAAAACAACAAGCAAAACAGAGACACACCGAGAGAGAGAGAGAGCGAGAGAGGAACCCACTGCCAGAGAGCAGACCCACTCTGAAACGGTTCGCAGGCGGCACACGAAGCTCCGACGAAGCACGTTACGGCGTGTGCTTGGCGCTTGTCTGTGGCTGTGGCTCCAACGCTGCTTTCATTCGCAAATCGCTCGTCGTCGCCATCGGTTGTGTAAAGAGCTAAGAAGAAGCTAAGAAAGAAAAGAAAAGAAAAGCGCGCGCCAAGAGCAAAAGAGAATTGAGTTGAAAATTTGGCGCTAAACAAATGTGTGCAACCAGCAACAGCAATAGCAAAATAATCACTTATTTTTGTGCGTGCCAGTGAAGTGCACTCCATAGAGAGTGAGCGAGAGAGAGAGAGAGAGAGATCTGAGTGAAGTGAATTATACTGAGAGCAAATGCAATGTTCCTTATTAGCAAATTGTAGATCCGCCAGCAACAATCGAGAGTTCAAGTGTCATTCGGAAGCCAAGCCAAAAAAATTAATACATAAATCTAGAGGGTAAAAATGCAGCAGCAGCAGCATGGCACCACCATAGTGCTGCTCTCGGGCATTGTCCCGCTGCAGCAGCAGCAATCGCACCCGCAACAACATCCCCAACAACAACAGCAGCAGCAGCAGCAGCGGCATGCCAAGAGCCAACAGCTGAAGCAGCAGCATTCGGCCTTGGTCAAGCTGTTGGAGTCGGCGCCCCTCCACAACAAGCAGCAGCAGCAGCAGCCACCGCAACGTAAAAGACTGAAAAACGAGGCAGCAAACGTGCCACACCACACCACACCTGCAGCAACACCAGCAAAGACAACCACCAGCAACAACAACAACCATAGTATTAGTCAGCAGCAGCAGCAGATCGTGTTGCTCCTGCAGCAAAAGCAAACGCAACAGCCAGCAGCGTCAGTGTCAGTGGCAGCAGAACGAGCGGTGGCAGCAACACCAAAGCCCGGTCTGCCAGATCTGAGCTCCAAAAATGACAGCGAATCGGGCATTGACGAGGACTGTCCGAACAGTGATGATGAGCCCCTGCTGACCACCAATGGCACGTCTCTGGGTGTGCCACTGGCAGCCGGGGAGGAGGGATACGAGCAGTATCAGTGTCCCTGGAAGAAGATCCGTTATGCGCGGGAGCTAAAGCAGCGCGAAATGGAACAGCAACAGCAGCAAGATCATCAGAAGGAGCAGCCAGCAGCAGTAGTAGGAGGAGCTGGAGTAGGAGCTGTTGTCCCGCCGACCGCCAGCAGCAAGCGTCATCCGCTGCACTGTGATAGCCCCTTTTCCGCGCAGACCCACAAGGAGATTGCCAATCTTCTACGTCAGCAATCGCAGCCCCAGCAGCAACAGCAACATCCTCAGCAGCAGCAGCAGCAGCAGCAACGTCGCGACAGCTCCGACAGCAACTGTTCGCTGCTGAGCAACTCCAGCAGCACCCATTCCGCGGGCAATGGCTGCACCTGCAGCAGCGACGAGCAGCTAATGGAGGATTTGGAGGCACAGGATTCGGGCTGCGATGATGAACTGTGCGAGCAGCACCACCAGCGCCAGGACTTGGACTCGTCGCAACTGAATCTGCTCTGTCAGAAGTTCGACGAGCACCTGGACACGGCCCTGAGCAATGGCAGCAATCCGGGGAGAGTGGCGGCAGCCACAGAAGATGCCGATGTAGGTTTACAGGCAGTTTAGATTTAAAGGGGATAACCATAACAGATTGGATACTAGTTTTTAGATTTTTGTTTAAATTTCATTGATTTCTAATGACAATTTTTCTTCTATTTCCATTTGCAGGGCTTTTTCCGTCGCTCCATTCAGCAGAAGATCCAGTACCGGCCCTGCACCAAGAATCAGCAGTGCAGCATTCTGCGTATAAATCGCAATCGGTGCCAATACTGTCGCCTGAAAAAGTGCATTGCCGTCGGCATGAGCAGAGATGGTAAGTGCCACACAACTTTACTCTCCACTTTACGTACGATACGATACGGTAGCATAATTACTATACGCACTGTTCCACTCTCCACACTCCTGTAAAATTCGTTAACATAACAATAAAGAGGAAGAGGGTGAGCAGCAGAAGATGGGGAGAGCAGAGACAGTGGGAGCACAAAATTGAGTCAAGCTCAAAAGCAACAACGAAACGGCAAACAAATTAGACGATGGCCGAATGAAGCAGCGATACGAGGGGCAACGAGACACGAGCCGAGTCGAGGGCCCGAAGCATAGTTGGGGTTCATTGACCAGCCATGAACGAAATTTCAGCTCATGCACATGAGCGTGTGTGTTTGTGTGTGTATGATTGTATTGCAACATATTGGAGCCCAATACTACTCATGATGTTTTTTTGTTGCTGCTTGATTTCACGGCAAAGTAAAAGTTGTGCTGGGGCACACAAACACTTTGTTTAAACAAATTTCCATCCCACACCCCCTGCCCCCTTACCAAACCCACCCGCATGCATGAATGATAGATTGAGAGCAGCCAGCCAGGCCCGCCAGAAGAGTCTTTGCGCCATTTCGAAATTGTGCCGAGAGTTGAATGAACGCACTTAACCCAATTCCATGAGCGAGGCCAGCCAGCTAGCCACCCACCCGCTCACTCTCTTTCTCTCTCTCTCTCTCTCTCTCTCTCTCTGACTACCGCTCTTGCAAACGTTTGTCAGTTGAGTTTTGTAATAATTTGTTTAAATTAGGCCTGCCTGCCCGGAAAATATTTACAGGAAATAGCCAGAGCCCAGCGATTATGAAACCAGCGTTAGCTGGCTGGTTCGTTCGTTCACTGTCTCTCTCTCTCTCTCTCCTGCTCTCGCGTCGTTCATTGACTTCTGCTGTAGCGCAGCGCAGCTCTGCTTTCGAAAACGAAAGTGGTTCATGCGATGCGTGCGCGAAAGAGTCAGAGATACTTTAGCTGGAGCTTGTTGTCGTATTGGTAAAATGTGGTGGGAGCATGAAAGACGTCGAAGGGGAGAGGCTGAGGCTGTGGCTGCTTTGTAGGCAGCAAGCACGCAGACGCGGCCTTTGTGTAACAGTTATATTGTCGCTTTTTGGGACTGTGCGGCCTGGCTGTGTTGTAATTGATGGATTAGATTTTGGTATTTTTTATGTGGAGCGCGTATGTGGGGGGAAAGTAACAAAATATACTACTTTTGGTTGGGAACTTACACACTCAGGCTATTTCCATGAGCTACATTTATTTTAACACCCAATTCTCAAATATTCATTTTCAAATTTATATCCCAATACATATATATAATTTGACCACCCATTAATATTCACTTTTTAATGGATTAATTTTTCGACATTTGTTGTCTTGATTTTGTTATGGCCGCTAGTTTATTAGCTGCTCGATGCCTTGTCACCATTGAAAGTCTCTCTCTTGCCAATTCGAAAGTCGATTAGTTTTTTAGCAAATCCTTGAACTAGTTCTAGGCAGCAAACAGCTAACCCCACAGAGCTAGCAAACCCGAGCTAGTGCCAAAAATACCAGCGCACAAAAATGCGACCGCCAAGTGCAAAACTCGAACTCGGTGGCAACAGGCAATGAAAATGAATCGAAAATACTACGAGACGAGGGGGTAAAAGCAACAAATTTCGAATTGTTTATAATAAAAATGACCGTGTGCTATTTAAGCGACGCCAACAGAGCAGTCAGCGTCGTCAGAGCAGCGTTCGCCTCGCATTGCTTGTCCCCCCTTATCTTTCAAGGAAAATTCAAATACAAATTTACCGAAACGAAGCCCTGAACGCTGTTTTTTTTTACAGTTATAAAACCAGCGCCGAGGACTGACCTAGAAAACAAAAAAAAAAGCAGCGTCGAATTAATATTTTACTTTATTTAAAAATTAAATATTGCTCCGAGACTCTGCGGACCGCACTGCTTTCACTTTCTGTGTGCCGAAACGCAACGTAATTGGCTGCCATTTCGAAACACTTTCTTTTTTCGGCTTTCATAATTTCTCGTCCAATAGTAATAGGGGCCATTTTGTTTTGTCGCTCTTTTTATTTTGTTATTTTCTGTTATTTTTTTTTGCTATTGCAAAGACACGAAAATACAACGCAAGAAATGAAAACGAAACCGAAATTTGGAGCGACACCCCACGCCCGTCCCTTTTGCTATGCCCCCTTCCCCACAGTCAGCCCAGTCGCAGCGGCGAGCAGCGAGTAGTTCAATGACCGCCGTGCCGAGCCGCGGCGCTGACGTGCAGCGAAACTGGGTCACCAGCGGCAGCGCTGCCAGGGCAGTGAAGGTGGTGGAGACTGTATCTGTGTATGTGTATCTGTGTGTGTGTGCATTGTTCGTTGTTTACTATCAGCAGAGCAGAAACACACACTCAAGCAGCGTACAAATATATCATCAGTATTTTACTTGTGTGTTTTTTTTTCTTCTCATTTTGCATTTGATTTTTGTGGATTTGCTTGGAAATTTATTAGTTCGCTTTTGCCGTGGGCAAAATAATGTTGGACTTTTTTGTTGTTTTACGAAATCTTATTTTATTTTTATTAGTTTTCACATGCTCACAAACACATGCATCACATGGTGATTTTTAATTGAAATGAACTTAAATTAGCGCGAGGTTGGAGGCAAATTGAAAGTAAATACATATGCAACACGAGCAACGGCCCGGCCCCGAGACAAGAGTGATGGTAGGGGCAGGGCGGGAAGGGAGGGGAGGGGAGGCGCAGCGACTGGGTTTTGGATACGATTAGAATATTCGAATATTCTCGTTCGAACAACGGAATGGAAAAGGCAGCTCAATATGTAGATAAATAGATATCTGAAGTTGGTTTAAACCGAGCAAAACCTAAAGAAGTGTTTGATATTTTCGTTGGGTTTTAATTATTGGTAAAACATATTTTAAGAAAAACTGATCGCCCTTTTTGTTTACTTTTATAGTAGCTTATCTATCGGTTTTTCTTGGTGCTAGTATTTCTTGTTAAAAAAACAAACATTGTCTTGTATCTCAGATCTAAATCACAGCTAAACAATTTGTAAGCCCATAGATAGCCACACCTACAAAAGCTGCAACTGCAGCGGCAACATGAACGTGGTGGGAGGGTAGGGGGCAGCAATTAGTTGCTTGGGTGTTCCACAAGCACATAAAATAATCAAACAATTGTCAATTATCGAAGGCACAGGCACACTCGTAGTCGCATATATAGGAGTGCTGCTGCTGTTGCTGCTGTTGTTGTCGCAATCATTATTATTTTGAGGCTACACACACACACACACACACATAGACTGAAACAGCAGCAGTGGAGGCAGGCAACATGCATGTAGATTTCGCCTTGCCTCGTCCGAGTCGTCGCGGCTGCGAGAGTGTTTTGAACTTTATTCAGGTCAATTACAAATACATTAAAATGCCAGTGCTACACAACACACACACACACACACACACACACTGCCGCTCGGGGCAAGCTGTTGACTAAAATAATATTGGAGGCTATACGAAAATTTACAATAAAAACGAGAACAAGGAGGAGACTAGCAGCAAGGTGCTGGGAGGGGATAATGGGCAGGGGGACTGGGGCAAGGAGTGCAGCACTTTGCAACAGTTCAAGGAGCCGCCAGCCCCCCATCCAGCGTGTGAGTGGGTGGCTGGTATGTGATGGGATGAGGTGAGGTGGGGCGCTGCAGAGAGCTTCAAGTACAATTTGCTAATGATGATGTTTTTTCTGCTGGATGATGTTGGACAATGATGATGACGATGAGTGAGTGGGTTGGGTGCTGCTCGAGGCAGCTGACAGTTGGTGAAGGTTTAGTGGGAGGGGATCCACTTAAAGGTTAAGCAACTGCACAGAAGGCTCTATGCCACCTTGAGCGACACAGTTTATGGTGCCACTGGAACCTTGAGAGGCTTTAGCTTTTCGTGCGTCACTCTCCCCAACTAATCCTTACAGATCGTTCCCCCACTCATATTATACAATTATCGTTTGCTCCCCTTTCCATGCACTGCGCCTAAGTGAAATCTTTTCACGCGTGTCACACTACAAAAGACAGAAAGAGAGAACGAGAGAGAGATAGAGTGTGCAAAGCAGAGGGGGAAGACTGCATCAACAAATTACTTGAGCAACGGCAGCTGCTCGACAAGTCTCTGTGGTCTTCTTTCTCTCTCTCTCTCTCTTCTCTCCTGCTGCCGCTTCTTTTTTTTTGTTGGTTACATAAAGTTACGCGTGCGTATGCTTTTGTCTGTTTGTGTGCGCGCCTGTGTTGGGCTGCCTTCACCTGCCATCAATTTTAACGGTGAAATTGCAAAAAGAAATAAAAAGAGCGCCAAGCCAGACCAAGCCAAGCAAACAGCACAACAAAACGAAGCCAAAAGAGATGCCAAAGCAAAGAAAAGCAACACAAAAGAAAGAAAAGAAAAAAAAAAGAGTAGCAAACGTAACAAACTTGTTTTACACGACGCTGCTGTGGCTGCTGCTGCTAACGTTGGCTGCGACGCTGGCGTCGCCTACTACGCAAGTTGAACCTTCAAAAGGTTCATTTACCCCATGCGATGGCTGCCGAGCGACAAAAGCCACCGAACGGGCAACGGGCATCGGGCATCGGGCGCCCGACCAAACACGAACCAACGACAGCCAGCAGTAGCAGCATAATGTTGGAGTAGGAGGGGATACCACCAGAGCGGGAGAAATAAAAAATGTACTTTCGCTTTTTTCAATGCCTCGGCGCCAAAAACTAGTTTCGAGCCGAGAGCAGAGCAGAGAGCTTAGAGCGTAGAGCAGGAGCATTGCAGCAATGTGCTGGTGCTGGTGGATGGCTGGCTGGCTGGCTGGCTCTCTGCTGACGTCGCGACGTTTTGGGCCACAGTTAAACGACCGAGCAGCGGCAGAGTTCAACGACTTTTGTAAAATTTCTCGAAGGTTTCGCATTGCAACATCAGCGACAGCGACAACGACAGAGGCAACTTGTTCGAAGCAATGCATTTGCATTGCTATC